CCCTAACAGGTGAGCCACAAGAGGCCTCAGACCAGAGGCCAGCTGGCCATGAGAGGCCAAGCACAGCCCAAGCAGCCGCAGGAGGCCACGCCGCAGGAGGCCAAGCAGCCCACCGCGAACGGGTGCGGCATGCAGATCCAGCGGGGCGGGGAGCCGTGGGGATCCACAGGGGGCCAACTCCGATGAGTGTAGGATTAGGTCGGGCGTGTCCTCCTCCAGGCGGGTTTTGGGCGAAAATGTAGACATAAAAAAACGCGTTCCCAGGCAATGCTTTACCATTGTTTGCTATTCCTCCTGTAGGAGGGCGTGCCCGACGTAAATGTAGGAGGCCGCGCAGCCAACGCGGGAGAGGGCGGCGAGGCGAGACGCCGAAGGGATCCAGCGGATGACGCGTCAGAAGAGGTCATAGGGTTTCTCCTCCTCCTCCGCCTCCTCCTACTCCAGATCCTCCTCCTCCCCCTTCCTCCTCCTCCTCCTCCTCCTCCTCCTCCTCCTCCTCCTCCTCCTCCTCCTCCTCCTCCTCCTCCTCCTCCTCCGCCTCCTCCCCCTCCCGTTTTCAAAATTTGGCTCTCGCCGTAGCGCCGCGCACATTCGATAACAAAATGCAAGAGTTTCACGGATTGAGGGCGACCCGCCTCAGCGCCGCGCAAAGTCATTTTAAACGTTTACAAGGGTTTCACGGATTGAGGGCGGTTCCTTTTAAAAATGTAGTTACCGCCTCAGCGCCGCGCACATTCGTTTTAAAATTTGCAAGGGTTTCACGGATTCACATGATCAACGTATCAGAAAATGTAATTTGAAAGGATTCAGTACTATGAGGGTGCAACAATTACGTTGATTCGCGGCGTTGAAGTCCCAGGAATGGCACTCTGGCACGATTGCGGATCGTCAAGACGCAACAGTCAGGTTGATCCGTGGCGTTGGAATCACGAGAACGATGAACGCATGCTTAAGTCTTCAAACGGCTGTCTTCCAACGAGGCAGTTCCCTCTGTTGAAATGAACCGTTGTACGGGCTTATGAAGAGGGAGCTTGGAGGGAGGGCTTGTTCCAACATCGTTGATGACTCTAGGGTTTACAGTGGTCCTCCTCTTCCTCCTCCTCCTCCTCGAGGCCACCCTCGGCTCGACCACGGCAGCCGGGGCTGGCGGGGCGGGAGGTCGCGGAAGAGCCACACACGGAGCGCTCCAGAGCGGGCCACGCCTTCGAGGAATCGAAGGAGTGGACATCTCTTCCACGGGAGCTGACCGTTTGTGGTTGTGCGGGCCCCAAGACTATACACCCACCACTACCTCCAGTCCCCCTCCCCCCTCTACTCTCCTCCCTCCCTCCTCTTTCCTGGTAGAGGGATCATCGGGTTAGGGAGGTGATGGTGGTGTATATATTTTTTGGCCCCGCAGATTGGTCGCTGACCGAACGTGCACCTGCTTAACCCAAAACACAGCAGTGGCCGCAGCCATCAAGCCACGCCGACTGCAAGAAACATGCACGTGTCATTTGTTTGTGTAGCTTGGCTCTGTCCGTCGACTTCTCGCTCATGGCGAGGGGGAGTGCTAGAACAGCAAATGCGTTCTCAAATGCGTCCGCAAACCGACGCGCAAGAAGTCAGAGCAGCCGGTTCAGCTTTCAGAAGAATAATCAGACTCATGACTCATGTGTAAAGGCGGGCAGTGGCGCCCGAAGGAGCTGCGGAACTAGCGCCACACCTCATGTCCGCCATCGAAGAGGCGGAGCAAGAGGCGAAACTGCAACTGGTCCACCACATCGCCAGCTGTTCTCTATACAAGCTGAACGTGCAGCAGTTAGCCATCCGTGGGACGGGCGCGATCGGGAATGAAATGGAGTCGAGTAGTGAGAGTGGGGCCGAGGGAGGGTGACGCGTCCTTAGAAGGAAGGCGGACCGCCGCATGACACGCGGCCGCATCTCGCCGGCCTCGCGCAGCCACCTGGGGGCTATGCCTCCGCAGGGGTGGCTGCAAGATCTGTCAGCACCTTCCCTTGCCTGCAGCACGGGAGGTGCCAAGCGGCAGTGAATGATGCGCCGCCTGTCGCCCTGGGTTTAAGTCGGGCCTGTCCCCCTACAGGGATTTTCGACGAAAAATATAAAATACCCCAAAAATACTCTTAAAATACTCCAAAAATAGTCTGGGGACAATTTTTTGACTATTTCTTGACCTTCTTGTGGTATTTTGGGGGTATCTTTTATTTTTCGTCGAAAATCCCCCTGTAGGGGGACACGCCCGACATAACCCTGGGTTGGACTGAGGACGCGTTCATTGAAGGAGGGCGGACCGGCACACGACGCGCGGCCGACTCTCGCCGGCCTCGCGCAGCCACCTGGGGGCCTATCTGGCCATCGCTCGGACGTGCATTCCCTGTGTTTTTTTCGGTTTCGTGCGTGGGTGTTTTGCCAAATGATCAAGGATGCTCCTCGATGGTCCTCGTCGAAGGAAAAATGCACACGTCCGAGCGATGCCAAGCTATGCCTCCGCAAGGGCGGCCGGAAACAGGAGACCACCCGAATCCCTCGCCGTGCCACATGGATCTCATGAAACGCTCAGGGGGCGTCCAGGACGGCAACGAAAAAGAGGCCCGAATCGAGACCCCCCACTCACGCAACCCAGGCCGCACGTGTACCCAGAAACTGTCAGATAGCCTCCAGAAAAGCTGACCGCCCCCCCCACGCACCACGCGGAAGTTTCGTCGTATACCTGCGCGCTGGCTTCCTCCCTGGGGCCCGCCTTGACTCCAATCCTGCGGGCTTCATGAAGTGGTCTGCGGATGTGGCGTAAGCCTGCTGAATCCACGTCCAGAAGGAAGGTGTTGCCGGAGGCAGGTCGCGGAGCGGAGCGGAAGCACTAATGCAACGCATCCCGCATATCCAGTTATTGCATAAAACCGATCTACGTATCACATTATTTTGCCTTGCGTCATGTATAGTGTAAGGCCCCCTATGCCCCCCACCAGAGTCACGCCACATCCACAGACCCAAAGGTGGAGGACCCTTCTGGGGCTCAAAGACGTACAAAAACAACAGAACATCAATGGTTTGGGCCTCTTGGGCCTCTTAAGGTTCCAGAGGACTTGAAGACGGCTCAAGGTGGCCTCCAGACGGCCCCAAGACGGCCCAAGATGGGCCCAAGAGGGCCCAAGAGGCCCCCAAGACGCTCCAAGGGGGCCCCCAAGAGCTGCCCCAGAGGCCAGAAAAATTGTTTTCCGATGGGTCTTGTGATAGCTTCGCTTCCTCGCCTTTTTCGACACTCGGGGGCCCATAACGCCCCAAGATGTCCCAAAAGCCTTCCCAGAGGGCCCCAAGACGGCCCCAGAGGGCCCCAAGAGGCCCCAAGAGGCCCCCCAAGACGGTCCAAGAGGCCCCCAAAACGGCCCAGGAGGAACGCAAGAGATTCCCGAAGTGGCCCCGAGAGGCATCAAAGACGGCCTCCGAAGGGGCAAGACAGGGCAAGAGCATCCCAAGGCGGCCCAAGACGCCCCGAAGGGGCCCAAAGAGGCCCCAAAGAGGCCCCCAAGAGACCCCAAGAAGTACCCAAGACGTTTCTGAGAGGCCCCCAAGAAATCCCCCAATAGGCGTACAACGACTTGATAGCACGTGCTCGGGAAGTGCACCCCGCGAAGCGAGAGGGATCTGGGTACGGAGGTGTCGTGCTGAAGGGCAGCGTGTTCTGAGGAGGCGATACTGCAACGTATCCCGTGTATCAAATTATTGCGTAATCCCTACATGTCGTATTGTTTAACATGCCTATGTCACCCCCAATAAAGCCTTCCTCTGGGCTACGCATTTGTCGATTCGAAGGTGGAGGACCTTTCCTGGGCTCGGAATAGCCCCCAAAGAATGTTCCGAACATCAAATATCTCGACCTCTTGGGCCTCCTAGGGGTCCACGAGGGCGTCAAGACGGCTCAAAGTGGCCCCAAAGCGACCAACAAATGCCCCATGACGGCCCAAAATAGCCCCAACACGGCCCCGAAATAGCCCCAAGAGGGCCCAATTGGCCGCCAAGACGGCCCCACAAGGCAGGAGGGTCCCCATGAAAATACCCAGAAGCAAAACACATTGTTGCGCCCTTGTGTTCGGAACGTGCTAAGCGTTCTCAACTTTTCGGGCCCGTGGGGGCCCATGACGGCCCATGACAACATGTCGTCATCATTCGCACTCCCTTGCGCGCGTGCTGGGGAACGCGATCCGTGTCAAATCAGACCCAGGGGCCACTTTTGCGCGTCGGCCGCGCGTGCGCTTGTCGAACTCGTTCCAAAACCGTCATCACCGCCGCGAAGACGCCGTCATCCTCGTCGGCGTGATCAGCATCGGCGCCGTCACTGGCCGCGCCGTCGCCTTTGTCATCATCGCCACCAGCGTCGCTACTATCACGTGTCCACCGTTGTCGACGTTGCCATAATACCGCGGCGGCCAAAATGGCCGATTCGCACTGAAATGCCCGATGGAAAGTGCCCGGAGGTCAGCGCCACCGCGGCCGCGTCGGTCGCACCAAACTAGATGGCCGCTGCGCGCGCGAGCATGCGCGGGCCAGCGCGGCCGCAAAGATGCACCAACCAACACCAAGCACTCATCGCAACCGCCGCCACATGCGTGCTGCAAAACAAATTGAGGGCGGGTGGGTAGGATGATTGCGCTAGCACTAAAGCTGATAACTGCGAGTTCCACGCGGTATGCTATGCAACACACCGTTTGGGGCCCATGCTGGCTAACACTTCCGCTGTTTTTTCCGCAAACGACAAAACAACGGAAAGCTGGCGGGGATTGGAAAACTGGCCTCCAGCAGCATCGCGTGAGACAAGCGGGAAGCAGTGGGCAGCATGGTTGCAAACGGGAGGGGCAACGACGACGACGTCGACGACGACGACGACGACGACGACGACCACGACGGCGAAGAGACCCCCGACAGTCTGCGCCGATACCGATATCGCTCGTCGATGGGAGGGCAGTGGCGGCAGGGGCAAGCCGCGACAAGGGGTTCGCAGCCGCCTTCCGCCTGGCGAGGTTGCTGGCCTTGCTGATCACCTCATCCACCTGGCGGAAAACACTGTGCCACGACACGAGGACGACGTCGTCGCCGTCGTCGACACTGCTGTTGCCGTCGCCATCGCGATCGCCGTCGCCATCGCCGTTGTCGTTGCCGTTGCCGCCGCCGCCGACGGCGACAGCGACAGCGGAACGACGGCGGCATCGGTGGCGACGACGACGACGACGACGACGACGACGACGACGACGACGACGACGACGACGACGGCGGCGGCGGCGGCGGCGGCGGCCGCGGCCGCGGGTTGCGCCGTCGCCCACGTTTGTTGATGTGGGGGGGCCTCGTGATTGTCGTTGTGGCCTGATGCGCACCATGATCATGGTCGGAGCGCGCCCCAGGTGAGGTCCAGACGACGGTGAGGGAGGGACTGCGAATGCAAAGCGTGAGGAAGAAGCTCAAGGACGGGGGGGAGACGGACGATGAAGGGAACGGGAGGTTAGTTTTGCATCGTTCCCCTCTTTCCCTTCCTCCTCCTCCCGCTGTTATCCTCGGTTTCCTCCTCCTCTTCCGCCTCATCCTCATGGCCCTCCCCATCATCACCATAATCATAACCTTATTCCTGCTCCTCCTCCTCCTCCTCCTCCTCCTCCTCTTCCTCTTCCTTCTCCTCCTCCCTTTCTTTTGTTTCATCATCCGCCTCCTCCTCCTACTCCTCCTCTTCTTCTTCCTTATAATTTTCTCATCCTCCTCCCCTCTCGCCGTCGCCGTCGTCATTGCCATCACCGTCACCATGAGAATCATCGCCAACACCACCATTACCATCACCATCGCCATCACCATCAGCATCGCCGTCATCATCATCACCATGCTCATCATCACCATCATCATCATGATCATCATAATGGCCATCATGACCACCACCATGACCACAATCATCACCACAACTTTCCCCACACCCCCCTCTTCACGTCAACTGGTGATTAACATAACCGCTCGCGCGATTAAGACAAAAGTGCCCCTGCAGGGGCAGCACGGACTGGGGAAGGAGGAGGGGGGATGCGGGAGGCAAGGGCGACAGAGGCAGGGGCCGTCGGCGCCGCCACCGCCGCGTCGTTCCCTTGTTTCGCATTTGAACGGAACTCCCGTCTCTGCGATGGAAACAGGCCCTGAAGGAACAGAACCGTGGAGTTCCCGCCAGGACCAGCTCGGTCGTTTTTCGGGTGCCTCGGGCCCGCCGGGAAAAACCTGCCAGCGCCAACTTTTCGCAGGACACGCGTCCACCGTGGCGCCCCACTCCGAGTCCAGAAACGGGAGCCAGCCAAGCGCAGAGCGAAGCTCGGCGCGCCCGACAAGGGCGTGGGAAAAATGAGCATGACGACAAATGTTCTCCGACACGGACAGCGGCCGCTGCTGGGCAAGGGACTCGTTGTATCGAACTGACAACGTCCGCGGCGCCACCCACAGGATGCAAAACTGTTGTCGGTGTTTTTCCCCACACTTTCCGTTTCCGTTCTGAACGCACAGAGAAATGCGCCATTTCCGCACACTTTCCGTTCCCGTTCTGAACGCACCGTTCTGAACGCTCCGCACACTTTCCGTTCCCGTTCTGGACAAGTCCAGGGAGGCGCTGGCTGCCATCATCCGCGGCGCGGGTGGCTCCCCGAGTTTTCCGCGCCCTGGCGCGCGTGATTCAAACGAATGTATCGGGCCCCGCGAGGTCCATTCATCACCGCCCGGGGAGGGGCTTCATTTGTTAACCACAAGCTGACATTCACCCCCCTTTCCTCCTTCCTCTCCTCCCCAAAACGTGACACACCTCCCGCTACGTTTCCACGCCCGCCGCGCGGCCAGGTCCGCCGAACCCGGACCGCAGCATCACCCGCCCGCGACGACAGAACGAAGACGGCAACAGACGACAACGGCGAAAGCGACGGCGACGACGGAGGCGGCAGCGGCGACGATGATGGCAACCGCGTCGGCGACGGCGACGGCAACAAAGACGGCGACGGCGACGGCGACGGCGATGACGAGGACGACGACGACGACGACGACGACGACGACGACGACGAAACCGACGACGACGACAAAACCGACGACGACGACGACGACGAAACCAACGAAGACGGCGACGACGACGAAACCAACGAAGACGACGACGAAACCGACGACGACGACGACGACGACGACGACGACGACGACGACGACGGCGGCGAAGGCGGCGGCGGCGGCGGCTGCGGCGGCGGCGGCGGCTGCGGCTGCGGCAGCGGCGGACCCCCGCGGCTGGCCGCGGCGCCCCCGCCCACAGGGGGGCCTCCCTGACGCCGACCTCGAAGAGCTGGGCGTTCTTTGCCTGCGCGGCGGGCCGCCGCGGCCGCGCGCGCGCGGATGGCGCCTCGGCGCGGCGGCGGCGACGGCGGCGGCGACGACGACGATGACGACGGCGACGGCGGCGACGGCGACGGCGACGACAGAACGACGACGGCGACAACGGCGGCGACGACAGAACCACGATGGCGGCTGCGACGGCGGCGGCGCCGGCGACGACGGCGGCGGAGACGGGGGCGGCGGAGGGGGAGGGGGGGGAGGAGGAGGGCGGGGGAGGGAGGAGGAGGAGGAGGGCGGGGGGGGGAGGAGCGAGTGAGCGAGGCAATCACAAAGTGCTGGGGATGGGGGAGGGGGGGGCAGAGCGCAACGAGTCGGGCGAGGGGGTCGTCCGCGTGCGGAGGGCGCGGCCGCCGCCTGCCCGCGCCCGGATTGGCGGGAGGGGCCGCATGTGAACGACGCGGGTGGGGGAAGCCTCCCCCTCTGGCGCGGTCGGGAAGGGGAACGCGAATCGAAAAGCTGGCGGGTTGTGGTGATCAGGGCGCGGCACACCCCGTCTGCACTCCCGAAACTGGAAGGAAACTGTGGCTTCCAGGACGCTGTGGTTGGCACGCGCGCCTCGGAACCAGGCGAAAGGAAGGCGCCGCCCTGGGGCATCCCCCTCGGCGGCCCAGCGCGCTGGCAGCCAGGAGCTCACGCAGAGCGCGAAGTGTGGAATGAGCGGGGGCAGCTAGCACTGGTGCGCTAGCCTAGAGCAGAAAGTCGAGCCTGGATACGAGACCTATGTTGCATCACAGCAGCAATTCGGCCCCTGACTTTCGTCCTGGGCTCGGTTTAGTGAAGTGATGAATTTCGGGGTCCTTACGTGGGGAAAAAACATCACTTCACTAATCTAGGGACCCTGGGGCCTCAGTGGGCCCTGGGGCCTAAAATTAGTGACGCGATGGTTTTTGGGCCTCGGATTGGAGACGTTCCTGGAGGGTGGCCCCAGCGAGGGCAGGCGTGCGGAGGGCCTGGTGGAGGTCGTTTTCCCGACGGCCTGCCGAGAGAGGGATCTGCTTTGCCCCCGGATGCTACCAGGTGTGACTGCGAGGCTGGAGGCCCGTTGCTGAATCGTCGTGGCACCTGCGGTGGGCGCGGCTCAACGATCTACCCTTGATTTGTTCCTCCTGCCCCACTCTCTCCGACCGCGCCGCTGACAGAATGCAAACATCTGGCTGTTCATACCCGACAGCTCCGCTGACGGGGAACAAAAGCACCTAGCTGTTTATACCCGACAGCTCCGCTGACGGAAAGCAAGCATCTAGCTGTTTATACTCAACGATATGCCCTTTGAGAGGGGCGTCCGCCCACATGCCCCACCTGGACATGCTGAGCACCCCAATGGCGCCTGCATCCGCTCCGCCTCCTGGGCTGCCTTTATCCTCATTCGTCTTCTCCCCAGAGAGCTCTGCGCCTCGCTCCTCTCGTCGTCCTCCTCCTCCTCCTCCTCCTCCTCCTCCTCCTCCTCCTCCTCCTCCTCCTCCTCCTCCTCCTCCTCCTCCTCCTCCTCCTCCTCCTCCTCCTCCTCCTCCTCCTCCTCCTGTTTTTTGGCGGCGAACTTCCTGCGGACCTTCTCCCTGGCAGATTTCGTCGCGCACGGCGCCGCGGCGACCCCCTGCCTCTGTGTTCAAAAAGATCGGCCGCGCGCATCGCACCTTGAAACTCCTCCACGTGTTCCCGCCACTTCGGCGACTCCTTCAGAGACGTCCCTGTCAACGCACCCGCAGCGCATCGGTCGCACTTATATACCTGTCGGAACGCACACTCCAACTCCCACAGATACACTCGCCCCCCTCGGCCGCCCCCAGCGCCCAGTCGTCGCGCACGGTGCGCCGCTTGTCCCTCGCTTCATTCGGAGCCCCCACACACTCACGACAAACGCTCGGGCCAGGAGTTTTTCATACCAGAAATAGGGCGCGTGAACTCTATGTTTCCCAACCATCCTGGGGTGGTGGGTCCTCGTTTTGAAGAGACAGCGCCCCGCGTCTCACCTCCTCCCGCTGCCCCCTTCCTCTTCCCCCTCCTCCCTGCTCCCATCCGCCTCGTCATCGTCGTCGTCATCGTCATCGTCGTCATCATCATCGCCATCGTCATGATCCACATCATATTGATCATCACCATCGCCATCGCCAGCGCACCGCACCTCACACTGTTCATAGCCCCATAGGGAGCTCCACCGAAGGCCCCAGTGGGGGCGTCCGCATGGCACCGCCGCCCCATTTTGGCACACCCCTCACACGGCCCATAGCCCCATAGGGAGACCCACCGAAGCCCCCAGCGGGAGCGTCCGCATTGCACCGCCGCCTCATTGTGGCACACCCCTCACACGGCTCGTGGCCCCGTAGGGAGCTCCACCGAAGGCCCCAGCGGGCGCGTCCGCATGGCACCGACGCTCCATTTTGGCTCACCCCTCACACGGTTCGCGGCCTCATAGGGAGCACCACCGAAGGCCCCAGCGGGCGCGCCCGCATGACACCGCCGCCCCATTTTGGCACACCCCTCACACGGTTCGTGGCCCCTATAGGGAGCTCCGCCGAAGGCCCCTGCGGGCGCGTCCGCATGGCACCGCCGCCCCATTTCGGCACACCCCTCACACGGTTCATAGCCTCATAGGGAGCTCCACCGAAGGCCCCAGCGGGAGCGTCCGCATTGCACCGCCGCCTCATTTCGGCACACCCCTCACACGGCTCGTGGCCCCATAGGGAGCTCCACCGAAGGCCCCAGCGGGCGCGTCCGCATGGCACCGCCGCCCCATTTCGGCACACCCCTCACACGGGTCGTGGCCCCCATAAGGAGCTCCGCCGAAGGCCCCTGCGGGCGCGTCCGCATGGCACCGCCGCCCCATTTCGGCACACCCCTCACACGGTTCGTGGCCCCTATAGGGAGCTACACCGAAGGCCCCGGCGGGAGCGTCCGCATGGCACCGCCGCCCCATTTGGCACACCCTTCACACGGTTCGCGGCCCCATAGGGAGCTCCACCGAAGGCCCCAGTGGGGGCGTCCGCATGGCACCGCCGCCCCATTTTGGCACACCCCTCACACGGTCCATAGCCCCATTGCCCATTGGGAGACCCACCGAAGCCCCCAGCGGGAGCGTCCGCATTGCACCGCCGCCCCATTTCGGCACACCCCTCACACGGTTCATAGCCCCATAGGGAGCTCCACCGAAGGCCCCAGCGGGAGCGTCCGCATTGCACCGCCGCCTCATTTCGGCACACCACTCACACGGCTCGTGGCCCCATAGGGAGCTCCACCGAAGGCCCCAGCGGGCGCGTCCGCATGGCACCGCCGCCCCATTTCGGCACACCCCTCACACGGGTCGTGGCCCCCATAAGGAGCTCCACCGAAGGCCCCAGCGAGACCGTCCACACAACACCGCCGCCGAGTTTCGGCGCACCCCTCACACGGGTCGTGGCCCCCATAGGGAACTCCACCGAAGGCCCCAGCGGGAGCGTCCGAAGGGCACGGGCCACTCACGGGGCTCGGGCGAAACCAAGAGGACTCCCCGCTCGCCCGCGTCAACTTCTCTCCCCCTCATGCACGCCGCAGTCCTTTTGCTGCCCCCCCCCTCCTTCGTATCCTCTCCCTCGCGGTATTCGCAGCAGCACATGGTTGGGTCCTTCGTCAGGCTCAGTTTACCTGACCCAGCTGCAAGTACCCCGCTTCTTCCGAACCGTGAGTTTCTCCCCGAGATCGCCTCATGGAGCCTTCAGTCCTCGCGACTCATCCAACGGCAGTTACCTCCCGTACATCTCACCCTGCGTGTAGGGCTGTAACCCGCACGGGCGATCTATGAGCACCCCCCCCCCGCGCGCGTTTCCGCGCGGGCGGTGGCCGCGCAACTGGACGCTTAGCTGACGCCGCGACGCACCTCCAAGTCAGCGATCACCGCGTCCAACGTCCGTCTCTGAGCCGCATGCGCCGCGCTCGCGAGCGGCAACGCGAAACGCTCATCCCTGGGCCCAGGTCGCCACCTGCAGAATTCACACCTGCAGAACTCGCACTCGCGCGCCGTGGGTCATCCTCTGCTACCGCAGCTACGTTCCACGCGCACTCAGTCGAACCGCATAGATTGCGGGGGCGGCCGCAAGAAACCCGCGCAAGAAACCCAGCCCTGAAACCAGCAGGCGCGAGATGCAAGTGGGGGAGCCCAGAGCACCCTGAATGCAGCAGCTCCTTCAACGGCTGCGGGAAGTCACCGCGCAGCGCGAGGAGCGAAGAAACCCAGGATACCCTGACGAAAAGCATATGGTTTCTTGATGCGCGCTCCCACTGTATTTGCCGTCTACGGACCACGACCCCAGCACGTCAATGGGTCTGCCGTGGAACAGCATGGTGCGTCCTCCTGCTCAGGTCCCCACAACGCCCCGACATGGCTCCAAGAAGACCACCAAGAGGCAAGCATCGCCTCGATCGCCTAGGAAAGCGCGCATGTGTGGCGCCTGCCTGGTTGGGTCCAAGAGCGCCTACGATGGCCTTCGAGGCTTGCAATATCCCCCAGCCAAGATATCCGCCCAACAGCCCGGTTCGGCCCGAGAACGGCATACGAGGCCACTAAAACGGTCAAGAACTGCAAGCGAAGTACCCTGAGACAAAACAAGAAAAACGCCGAAAGGCATCCAAGCAACCCCTGAAGGTGCCCTATTCGTCGCCTATTGCTCACCACACAGCTTGGCCCCCGAGGGATCGGCGGTGCGGCGCAAGCTCGTGAATCACCGTTCTCCTGTGCGGTTGGTTGACATGTATGCGATCCCGCGCCCAATGCCCCCTGCCGCGAAGAATAGCATAGCTCATCCGTGCTGGGCAGTGTCGACACAAGTCCAAGACGACGTCGAGGTAACGTAGGCTTTGACTGTGGAAAGCGTGCTCAGGATGGCGTTGCCAACTGCGTGGGGGGCTGCCTGCGTCGCAGATGCCGGCTGGGTGGGCCTCGGCCCGCGGTGCCGGTCGGCGGGCGCCGCCCGCCCTGCCTGAGCCGTGCGGCGTGTAGGCATGGGCGCGTCGACTGCGGCGGGGGAAGGAGGAGGAGGAGGAGGAGGAGGAGGAGGAGGAGGAGGAGGAGGAGGAGATCGTCTCGTGCCCACCGGTGGCCCATGGCGAGACGGGCGCAGGCGGCAAGGAGAGCGATCCAAACGGCGGCGTGGCTGTGGGCGGCGCTGGCCGCTGAGGTTGGCCACGGCGCCTGGCCCCGTCAGCGGTTGCGGCTGCGTTCCCGTGACCTCGTGGCCAGTGGGCGGGGAGGGAGGAGAGGGAGGGAGCGAGAGGAGGAGGGGAGGAGGTGGAGGAGGAGGGGGGGGGGGAGGAGGAGGAGGAGAGGAGGAGGAGGAGGAGGAGGAGGAGGAGGAGGAGGGAGAGGAGGAGGAGGGAGGAGGAAGAGGAGAGGAGGAGGAGGAGGAGAGGAGGAGGAGGGAGGAGGAGGAGGAGGAGGAGGAGGGGTCGTCGTCGTCACCGTTGTAGTCCCTGGCACGGGGCCCGCTAGGCAGGCCTCTGGCCACGTGAAGCGGGGGAGGGGGAGGCCGCGAGAGGCGGGGAGAGGGAGGAGGGGGAGGGGCGGGGAGGGAGAGGAGAGGAAGATGGGGAGGCAGGGCGACGAGGGGTAGCACGGGAGGAGCGGGAGAGGGAGCGGGAGGGGGGGCGGGGAGGCACGGGAAGGAGAGGACGGGCACGAGGGGAGGATGGGGACGAGGGGGGCCAGAGCAAACCCACGATGTACCAAGGGTGCTGCAGCACACGCTCGCAACCTATAGTACGCCCCCCTCAGAAATCCGGACAATGCATCATCATCCTCATCATCATCATCATCATCATCATCATCATCATCAGCATCATCATCATCATCATCATCATCATCATCATCATCATCATCATCATCATCATCATCATCATCATCATCATCATCATCATCATCATCATCATCATCATCATCAACAACAACAACAACAACAACAACAACAACAACAACATCATCATCATCATCAGCAGCAGCAGCATCATCATCATCATCATCAACCGCATCATCATCATCATCAGCATCATCATCATCACCATCATCATTCCTGCCCCCTCCTTCCCCCCCCCCTACATGCCCGCCCGGAACCGCGCCTCGCCTCGCTTGTGCGCAGCTCGCCCAGGCGTTTCTCGAGGTCCGCGGCCTCCCCGCGGCGGCGGCGGCGACGACAACGACAACGACGACAGCGACAACGACAACAACGACGACGGCCACGACGCCTCAATTCGACGCGACACCTCTGAGAAATGCGTCCAATGATCATTGCCCGACTGCCTGAGTGGGGCGCTGGCCCTATACCAACAGCCTCTTATCTCAAAAAGCCTTCAGCGTGATATGTCCTGAGGGCCTGCATAGGGTTTACTGTGCCGCGAGCGCGCAGGTAGGGGATACCCCTTCGGGCCCCCTGCGGCACCCTGGCTAGCGGCGTGGCCTCACGGGCCGACGGGCACCACCCCGGGGAAGACCAGCAGCCATCGCTGCAAACAAAAATGCTATGGATTGTCCCCAGGTCTCTCCACCGACTTCCGCACACGTCCCATGGCCCCTCCGCCTCGCCCCACGTCCCTTATCACCGCTAGTCTCCGCACGGCAAAGTGGCTGCACAGAGGCAGCGACAGCGGAATGTCTGCAAGCACGCTCGAGCGGAACTGCGCCACGCAGGGCAAGCTCAACCAGCCCCACCGAGTGCCCCCCGATTGCCTCCCTCCGCGCTCTCGTCGCCTGGACCAATCCTGGCTGCCACTGGCCCGCGGCCATTACCGCCCTTGCTGCCCTTCGCGCTCGTCTGTTTCCTCGTTGAAGGGGCCCTGGGACACACAAATAAATAGACACAAACAACAGGATTCCCCATATTTCCCCATATGTTCTGGCTTTCTGTCTTCCCCCGACTTCCCATATCTTCCCATATCTTCTGGGGCATCGGCGATGAACTGTGCCTGTGTGCTTCTTCCCCTCCGGACTCGTGTCGGGGAACTCCTGACCCGGGTCAATCCAGACCCGGGTCAGCAGGAAACCAAAAAACTGCGATGCAGGAACAAAAAACTGCAACGCAGGTCTTCGCAAACCCGGGTCAGCCAATATGCGCGGCCGCCTCGCGGCCACGAGCGGCTCGCTAACCCGGGTCAGCCAGGAGAGGGTCTTCGCAGGATCCTGCAGGATCCGGTGCCCTGGCTGACCCCCGTTTGCACTGACCCCCGTCTCTTAGGCTCCGACCGCTACTCCCTGGACCTCTCCCGGGGTGCGTTCTGCCCAGGATTTCGGGGCGAGTCCAGCGGTGGCGACGAGGGCCTCCGAGGAGGCCCAACAGAGGGGAAAACGGGGAAAGGGCAGAGGTGCGGTAGAAGGACACCACGAGTGGACACTCCCCCGCCCCGTTTGCATTGACCCCCTGGCTGACCCCCGTTTGCATTGCCCCCCGTCTCGAGGCTCCCGCCTCGTGCCCGTGCCCTCCGGCTCCTCCACTGCTTGGCTCCCGAGCGAGGGCGTCCTCTCTGGGGGGCCCGCGCGGTGCGGGCCCCGCCTCGGCCCGCCTGCCCTCTAGAGCTCGGTGCCCCCCGCGAGCGCTGCCTCCGACCGGGTGACGCTGGCACTCCACGCGAAGCTCAGGAGTTCTTCGCGTTTCGCGCTTCGCGGTCCGATTGCCCTTGGGGGCGGCGCGAGAGCGCGGAGTCACAGTCAACCCGCACAGATAAGGATGGGCGATTTTCCAATGCTACCCTTGCATTCTTCCCCTTCGGCCCACCCTTATCCGCTTTCGCTGGCCGCGCCCCGCTCGCAAAGGGTCGATAAGGCCTTCCGAGGCCTTTGCATTCTTACCGCGCATCCTTCTCATACGCGTTGGCTGTAGCGGATCTGTTCGATAGGAGTCTGATTCAAGTTCGGGTCCACTTCGGCTCGGGTTCGTGTCGAGTCGACGGACGTGTGCGACGCGGCATCGGCGCACGAGCGGAGCGAAGTGCTCCAGGAATGCCTCCAGAGCGAGCATCCAAGGTCGCAAACTGGAGCGTATACGTTACCAGTGGCGGGCCGTTTTTCAATCTCAGGACTTTGGGGGTCGGGGACGACGCCCGGGTGGTGTGGTGTATACCTTTTCTGTTTCCATTTCCCGAGGAGACAGCGAGAAACGTATGCACCAAGATCCCGCATACACCAGGATCCGCTTTCCTGTGCGAATTTAACTGCAGGGCCGGAAAAAAAAGCGTCGATGCATAGAGTTCGGTGCCCTACCGGGGTGGGTCGAAAGCTGGGCGAGGGCTGCTAAAACCGTGGCTGCCAAAACGGCCCTCCCGGAAGGACAAAACAGCTTCCCGGAAGGAGGCGCGGCACGCGAAACAGTCCACGGGCTGCTTCCTGGAAGGACGAAGACAGCTTCCCGGAGGTCGATTTTAGCAGCCGCGGATTTAGCAGCCCTTGCCCGGCTTCCGACTCAGCCTGTACCCGTCGTTGACGTGGCCGTCCTTCGTCTTGGATGGGCTTCGATCTGCAGTGGATCATCACCTCCGCTGTGTCCGCAGCGCTGCTGGCTGTCACGGCGCCTCCCACCGGAAAGCCTCTTCGGCGTCGCGGCGCTCCTGTGGTGGTGCCCCCCAAAGTGCGGCGAGATTCGCATGAAACGTAGACCCAATCTCTCTGAAGCATCTGCGCCCAGTTTGCCCTACCCTCGCGTTCGCACGATAGGCGAAGTCATCTGGCTCTTGAATGTAATGTACTGAGACAAGGCCCCGTCTCAGTAGGATGGCATCATAACTATCCATTCGACGTTTTCGATCGCTGCCAGCACCTGCTCGTCATCATCTGCCTCGGGATGGGTGTGAAACGAAAATTCTGGCGGCGGGATCAGAGCCGTGCAGTCGTCTTGCCGTAGCCTATCGAAGTCGGAGGCCAGGGGATTGTGAAGCATGCGTTCTGCCACACGAGACA